CCCTCGAGTGCACTGAACATGTTGCTGGAAGGAGTTCGAGAGATGGGAGGAGGTGTCGTTTCGCCACTGGCCTTGCCGCCCTTCTTCTTGCCAAAGATGCTATTGGGACCGAAAGATGTTGGATTTGAACCAGCGGCATTGATCTTGCCAAATGCGCTCATATCCGCAGGCTTGGCAGGAAGCTTGTTGCCGACAGAGGTCCAAGCGTCGCCACCAGATCCACCAAAACCGCCTCGGTCTTGTCCTCGTCGAGATCCTCCACGAGATGCACTGTCATTTCGGGACATGTTGACGTTGGATGCAGCAATCCTGCTCGCTTCCGCTTCAGCCTTGGCCTAAGATACATCATTTGCGATAAGTATGTTTTCCAAAGCATAGGAGGTAGAAAGACATACCTGAGCGTGGACTTCATCAATAGTCATGGATCCGGATTGACCCTTGGCGTTTCGTCCTCGCCAGTGGTTGCGTTCAAGTTCAATGACATCCTGAGGATACAAACACGACAGTGAGTATGACTCGAGACAAAGCACGCGCAAAGGGACATACCTGGACCATGAACCTGATTCGTGAAGACAGGTGTTCGCTGTTCTTCAGGTCGTTCATTCGCTGCATGTAAAGATTGATCTGTTGGGCCATCCTGGGCTGAGCTTCGAGCTTTCCACCAACTGTCGTCAGCAATTGACAGAGCGATTCAACGTCTTCCTCGTCCGGATCGATCACATTGCTCAGCAGCTTGACGATACAGGCATGGATGACCTTGATCGACACCATTTCGAGCTTGAAAAGTTCACCGACAAACTTGACGAGACCGAGACCCTTTCGCTTAGCAGCTTGCTCGGCATAGTATTCGTCGGAGAACTTGAATTCCTCAAGTTCCTTACCTGCCTCCACGGCAGCGTCGTGTTCGGCCTTTTTCTTCTGATCGTCGGCAGCCTTTTCCTTGGCAGCGGCTGAAGCGTCAGCCTTTTGCTTCCAACCCTTTTCAAAGTCTTCTTGACATCGGTTGAGCAAGTACTTTCGGAACAAGAGACCGCCACTGAGGGGCTGACCATCCGCACTGGTCATCTCGTCGTCCTTGACCTCGGGATTGATGTCTTGCCAAAGCTTACGGCACAACTTGGCGTACATTGTAGACCAGAATTGTTCGTCCTTGGCCTTTTCGAAGATAAGCTTGATGACCAATCGCAAAGTTTGACCATCCTTTTCAGCAACGGACTTGTTGGCCCATTCGAGAATCTGCGAAGAGATGGAATCAAACTTCTCAGCAGTGAGCTTGTTGAGCAGACCCTTGACCTTTCGTTCAACGAATTCGGGCGAGTTCTCGTCCAATTGTCCAGGTCGTCGGTTTTGAACAGCAGGAGTCCATCGGTTGGCCGAAGCTTCAAGAGGAGCAACATTCGGATCCAAAGGCATCGACATGGGTTGTCGACGATCGTCTCCTCCTCGTTGTTTGCCTCGGGTACTTCGCGCCCTGTTGGAGTCGTTTCGCATACCGCCCTGTCCCATGTTACCCATCGGACCGGCCTGAGAAGTCGTTCTCGACATTCCTCCTTGCGAGTTTCGCGCGGCACCAAAGGCACTGCCCATGCTGGCACGGGACGCCGCCACACGTTCCTCACTTGTCCGAGGAATTGCGCCACTGAACATGCCAGTTCCAAAGGAACCCATTCCAGCGCCGGAGCCTTTTTGGAAAGAACCCATGGGCGGTGCCGGACCTCGACCGCCCTGTTGGCCACGGGGTCCGCCACGTTGGCTTCCGCCTCTGGCGAAACCGCCACTACTGTTGCTATTGCGCGAGTCGTCCCTGTCGATGCTCAACATGCCAAGACTAGCCTCGACGGGAACTCGATCCTTGCAGATGCCCAAGAACTGCAGCAAGAATTCACGGTTGTATCGGAACTTGCCCGCATCGGCAGTTTCGTTCAAGGACGACAGAGGTGCAGAGATGCTGGCGGGGTATGTGATGGCTCGAATATCCTCAATCACCTTGGCCGTCTTCAAGGACAAGTTGAATGGAGAGTTTTCGGGCTCGATCGCGGGAGCACCGTTTTGCTGCGAACCGGAAGCTTGCTCGGTCGCGGCAAGTTCAGGCTTTGCGGGCAATGCGACGTGCGAAATGGCGGGTGAGGCCATGGGCGAAGGCGTAGCGGAAACCTTGCCAGAGAGGTCGGGAGCCGCAAGGCTGGCCTTTTCAAGCACCTCGGAGGAAGGCTTGGAGGGAAGACCGGCGATGGCGGCCGGGTTGGAAGGAGCCTCGGAGACGGCGACTTCAGCCGCCTGGGGTTTGGCCTTTGCGGCTTCGGCTGCCTCTTTCTCCTCTTGATCCTTCTTCTCGGCATCGGCAGCGGCGGCGGACTCGGTAGCCTTCTTGTCGGCCTCAGCTTCAACGGCCTTCTTCTCGGCCTCGGCTTCAACGGCCTTCTTCTCGGCTTCAGCGTCAGCAGCCTTCTTCTCGGCTTCAGCGTCAGCAGCCTTCTTCTCGGCTTCAGCGTCAGCGGCGACTTTAGCTTCGGCGTCCTTCTGTTCCTTTTCCGCACGTTCCTGCAAGCAAATACAAAAGGGCATCAATATGACTGGAAGACCATAAAACCCGTCCTCTCAACTTACCTTTTCCTTTGCTGCCTTCTCTTCGGCCTCCCTCTGTTCTCGCTCCTTATCTTCTCGCTCCTTCTTTTCCTTCCTCTCCTTCCTCTCCTTCTCCTCTCGCTCATCGAGCTCCTTTCGCTTCTTTTCCTCCTCGAGTTCCTTCTGCCTCAACTCTTTCTGGACGGGCGACTCGATTCGAACGGTGACGGGCATCGCACCGGCCGGTTTAGGGGAAGCCGTAGCAGCGACACTGGCGGCAGCCGCGATAGCAGCAGCCGAAGGTCCACCACCACCACCACTACCCTTGACCGTCTTCGCGACGTTGGACAAGTCCACGGCGGTACCGTCATCACGAGTGATTTTGACGGCGCTCACTCTTGCCTTGGCGGGGACGAATGCTGAACCACCAGGAGTGAATGTCGGCGGGACAGCGCCACCGGGAGTAAATGCCGCAGCACCGGGGGAGAACAAGCTGGGAGTTCGAGAAGCTTGTTGCGGTGTTCCTGGCGCTATTTGAGGAGACATGGGCGAGGCTACGCCTCCGCCTCCAACGGTAGGAATGCCGCTATTGGTAGACGAGAAGCTCGAGTGGGCGTTATGGAGAGATGGTCGACCCATGGAAGGACTCGAAACGGAAGGTCCCCCCGGCTGGCCGCCTCCGCCTTGCATACCCTGATAATGCTGAGGATACGGGTAACCGGGGTTAAAGTCGTACCCGCCGTATGCATTATGGCCGCCGTACGGGTTGAACTGGGGAGGCATTCCGGAAAACTGTTGCCCCGGCATGCCCTGAGGTACATATCCAGGACCTGGTCGGCCCATCGGAGGACCTGTCTGTCGAGGTGCTCGGCCAGGGCCACCGGTGGGCTGGAATGTTCCACTGGCAACGTTGAACCCCGGCTGGGAGTGGTTCATGATCGGGGATCGATGAGGCTGTCCTCGAGGTTGGTTAATACCGTTCGGCTGTCCACCGGAAGGTGAGAAGGGCTGCGCGTTGACACCTCCAACCATGGGGAGACCCTGGGAGTTGTATCCGCGTGCTTGAGGAATACCAGCCTGGCCCGGCTGCAAGTTGTGTTGTGCAGCCTGGACATTGGCGTAAGGGTTCAGTTGCTGAGGTACGAGCGCGGGCGAGGCCAGCGTGATCGGAGCAACAGGTGCAGGCGAGATGGAAGCCGCGGTAGGGACCGACGGAACAGGAGAAGGTGTTGCGGCGGTGGCGGCGGCGGCGGCAGGAACAGGAGCCTTCTGGAACGCCTTGTGCGGGTCGAACTTGGGTTTTGTCTGGGAAGGTGCAGGTGCGGCAGCAGGTGCGGCGGGCGTGGCAGCAGGTGCGGCGGGCGTAGCAGCAGGTGTAGGTGTAGCAGCAAGCGTTGTTTTGTCGCCATTGACGGACGCAGCAGGCTTGTCATCGGTAACACGATCAGCAGGCTTGTCTACGGGTGTCGATGAGACGGCGGGACTACTCACTGCAGGAGCCTGAGCCTGAGCGGCGGCGGCAGCAGCAGCTACACTTCCAAAGCTCTTTACCTTTTCGCCTTGTCCGAGATGGGCACCGGTGGCGAGTTTAGTGGCAGGGGAAGAGCTGATGGCGGATTCTGGGTCATCGACCGTGCCAAAGTTCAATGCCGGGTTCTTTGCTGGTGCGGCAGTGGCAGGCGGTGTTGGGATGTTTACCGCTTTCGAGGGGGCGGCGGCAGCAGCGCCCTTTCGAGGTTGTCCTGCCTGACTCTGTCGTGTACTTGACGGTGCACTGGTTGTTGCGGATTCAGAAGGGACCAACTTGTCTTTGCTGGGATTCGGAGACTGGAGCGGCGATGTGACCGCCGATGCCGGCTGGGACAACTGCGGCGGTCCTCGAGCCCACTTGGAGTTTGCGAGAGCGCGAGCCTGAGGCGCGGGTTTTGCCCCGGCCGCGGCGGGGGGCTGAGTGGGTTTGCTCATTTTGTGTGGGGTGAGAGTGCCTGACTTCTCGGATGCCGTGGCTGGACGGCGCTCTGAGAATCAGAAGGTGGGTCGAGAGCGTCCCACTGCGAAATGCTTCGCTGCTTTTGGTGGCTCGCGGAGTAGCCGGGCGGGGTGATGGCCGAGTGGGTGGGTGTCTGTCAAGAGCAGATGGCAGCCTGCTCTTTTTCCTCAAGCGCAGGGCCGGCACACGCCCGCGCTTTCTTCCCGCCCGCCCACTCTGGGCGCGTCGCCGGAGCCGCAGCGGGCCTGATATGCCTCCGATCCAGTCATCCGGCTCTCCCGGTCCAGCGCCGAGCCGCCCGCGCAGTGAGCGTGCCGCACAGGGAGCCAGGAGGAGCGGGCGCCAAGTGTAGCGAGGGAAACAGGAAACGAGGGCGTCGCTGGGGAGTGTTGCAGCTTGGTCGCCGCCTTGGGATATATCGCGCTCACAAATCCCATCATCATCCGGTGACGTAGGAAAGTGGTCTAATCCGCCAGATTTAGGATCATCGCATCCAAAACTCTGGTCCTTCGGGGCGAGGGTTCGAACCCCTCCGTCATCAGTCTTTTTGCTCGTTGGCTAGACCCCCAATTCAGGGGATATTGCAATTATTCCCCTGACGAAGCTGGTCATGCGCTTCTATGCATCGGCTTCGCAGTTTGTTCACATTGCACATATCGCTACCGATGTCACCATTGTTCTACAGTTGATGTGTAGCATTTCAGAACTCGATTCATCGTGGTAGCTCGACGGAACACAGGCAAAGAGGAAATCTACAACGGAAAAGTTCCTAATTTCCGGACATCCTCTAGATTACCGAGCAGTAGACTCCGATGTGCCTATCATAGCAAGACAAAGCTCGGACGTTCAGTCTTCGTATTCAGATCTGGACGAGACGGCATTGGAAGCTATCTGGGCATCCAGGAAAGTGGAAGCTCTAGAGAACATGTGTATTAGCGCAGACGAAAATATCTATATCGCAACGCCGCGAGGACAGTCTAAGAGGAGTCCAGATCGCTGGAATGAATCGATTCATTCCTTTGTGTCATATGTCAGTACCGGATCGAACGATATGCACATCCTCACGAGGACGGCATGACGGATCAGGTGGCAGAGGCCGTCAAGCTCGTCGAGCAAGGGCACAAAGAGGCCAAGAAGGAGTCCGCCGAGGCCGTAGCCTCCGTGAATCCTGACTCGGAAAAAGTGCCACGCCGGCCAAAAGCGAACGCAACGACAAAAAGAACAAGAGCAAGATAACGTGGGTCCCCTGCTTGGTGATGATGCGAACTTTTGATCACGGGCTAATAACCCTCTTAGCGATGGTTTTCAGAAAATCCGATGTTGTCACCAGCAAACGGCGATGGCGGGAGTCGGTCACTAGGCAAGGGCTCGATGGTGTTAGTACACGAGTTGTACTAAGAATGACAATGAATAATAGTCTTGAAGGCAAAAGCCAAGTACAACGGAAAGGGCGTCCTGATGAAAGGTCCCTTGTATGTACCTCACGAGGCGCAATCCTCCAGCTCACCCGTGCATAGTCTCTCCAATCTCCACATTGTTTTTAGCCTCCATATTGTTCTCTGTCGGATCGCCCATCGGCGATGGAAGTCGTTGATGGTGACGTCGATGAGTGGCTACTGAGTTGGTCTGTGATGGGAGTTGTTGATGGTGATGATGATGATGAATCGCGACTGCGTCGCTAGGCCTGTATACGCGTGGACACTAGGTCTGTCACGAAGGACTGGTTGCCCTAAAATGCAACGGGATATACTGTTATGACGCCGCATTCACTCGCAACCGCATCTGCGAACGAAAGACCCACCACCTCCCGCTTCTCGACCCCGCCTTTCCAACGCTGATCTTCGCCGAATATCTGTTCTGTCATATGCCACATTGCACGAGCGGCTTGGTAGTCCACTGGTTCGGGAGCGTGTTTACACCCCCTGCTTCGAACGGAAACATAAAGGAAGGGGGGGGGCTGTCTGTACGTCGTTTATAAGGGTATTTGGACTCGGGTAAGCCCCACTCTCTGTTGTCATTCACCCCTTTTGCTCTCGATTCATCCTCGCTGACTAACCGTTACGCATGATAGTGACTCGTTCGGCGCGGTAATTGAACTTGACCTTTTAAGCAAATTCAATGTGACCCACGCTTTTCCTCTTAGGGGTTAGGGGCCTCGTCAGGCGTGTAATCTATACACAAGAGCTTATCGAGAATTAACGCTCCACCGTGCCATAAACGATCTCAAACAACGCATCGATGCCAGATCGAACACGGGCGCCTCGGGCGGCCGGGTGAACCGCCGTGCAGGTGTAAATGAAGCGACGGCGGTTCACATCTCGAGACCATTGTCCAAGGAGTTCATCAGCTGTGTCGATGTTGCCTATACGGCTAATGGGCAGTTCAGTCTGTTCTCATGTCCCCAGGCTTCACTAGCGAGCCACAGACATGCACATCTGTGTAGGAGAAAGAGAGAGATATCTTTCGCCTCGCCGAATAGTATATGCCTTTCACACTGCCTCCCCTGATTTCGCCCGTATCAGCCGTGAAAGATTGGTTTGTCGTACTAGAATCATTGAATATCAGTAAAAACTCATAGCGGGTCACACATGCACAGACTCTGAAAACGTATCACGTCGATTGTACGCACAGTCAAAGCGACGAAAAACGCAGTCGTCATCTGAGACAGTTGCAAACAGGTGAAACGCGTCGTGAGCTGTACATATGTTGAATGCAACTCTTTCACACTCATCATCCATATCTGATCAGGTCTTTCCAATTCGACACCTCGCTCAGCTCGCCGATCATGGCCGGCCCTTCCACACGATCGAAGTCTAGGGCTCCGCCTGCAGTGAATCTCGCTCACAGCTGGTTGATGGGCAAGACGCTGACTCGCTCATCTTGTGTTGATGTCACAGCCCAAAGGAGCGAAGTCATACATGTCCTATCTAGGCAACGCTGAGCAGGCCTACGCTAGACAACGACAGTCTCACGGTGCAGAGCCCTTTGCGAAAGTCAAGAAACCAAGGGTATCCAACAAGAATACCAAAACGGCGATGATCACTGGCGTACGCGGCCAAACCAAGAAGGCTTTGAAATTGAAGGAGGGAGCCGGCGCGGATGCGAAGAGGGTGATGGATGCTGTGATGAATAGAGAGAGTTCATTGACGGACAAGGAGAAGAAGGCGGTGTGGACTGCGTTGACTGCTCAGGTGAGCAGGTTTGGTATCAGGGAGCTTCTATTCTCGTCTGAAATATGTTTCTTCCCAGCATGTTATATGGATGGATAAGGTCGTAGGAGAGCACCTGATCAGGTTACAAGAGCAGAAGGAGAGAGAGCTAACGGTTCTGGAGCGACACGCGGCAGTTTTGGAGAAAAATGTCAAGTTGATGCAAGATGCCTTCGAGCGGGACGAATGTTCGTGAGTCATCCCGATGTTGAGTAAGGAATACCATACTCAATACTATGTCCCTTTGCTTGTCAGGTTCTTCAAGATGTACAATGGATTGCGAGACCCGACCGGTCGATCTAATTACAGTGATGACTAGAGCCGTTGTTCAAAGCAATGATTTCAAGATCGCTATCTTAGCAATTTACTTAGGGGTTAGGGGATAGGGGGTATTCGGTAAGGAGCTAGCACATGATTAATCTGGACGTATATTTGACGTCAGGGTCAGACGGAATGTAAAATTATATACTGCAGAAGGGAAGACTCTTAGTGTAAACGCTAAGGTTTGTCAGGGTTATAGAAAAGTTTGAGAAGCGAGCCTTGCATATGACGGGGAAGAATCAACGACCTATATGCACCAATCGTGTTATACAAGGCTATAGACGGCCACTCCGACATGACCGCGGTACACCCAGTTTCACAGTCTCATTTCAAAGACTCAGCTCAATTCGCAGAACCAGCCTCGACGGTCATTCGTATTCGTTATTCCTCCCTCTAACCAGCTCTCTAGCCTTCCTCGCCCGTCGATTCTCTGATAATCGGCCTAGCAAGGCCACAAAGTCATACTACAAATGGGAATCCTGCGATGCCGACGGCCCCAGGTCAAGCAAACGGTCAGCAATCATGCACGTTATATTAAGTGAAATCTGACTCTCATCAAGCACAGATTACGATCCGGCGAAATCGTTGATTGGTTCGAGATGGGTGTATCTTGCTATTTTGACCCTCAGGCCCTCTTGGTCAACCTCTTCGTTCCAGTAGGTCTGACAGGTGGTCAGAATTGAGCATAAACGAACCATATACACGATGTAGGTGACATACGTACAGTTGTTTCGTAGTCCATCAACTCATCCTGAAGTCTCACGGAAATTTCTTCCGGAGAGCCGTTTTCCACACCGTCCGGTTCTTCTCCCTCGCCTTCATCTTCGTTGACTACGATTTCGACCCGTGAATTCTCGTCAGGGTCGATCATGTTCTCGTCGTCAGCGTTTGCCACACTGCTGAGCACTGCAGCTCGTGCCGCTTCCACCGAACTTGCAATGTAATCCTGGTTCCGCCTTTTCATCTCGGCCAGTCTCGTATTGATTGAGTCATCCACTTCGTCGTATCGTTGTTTCTCTTCCGCTTGCCGAATACGTTCTTGAATGTCTACTGCATCCCTCATGTCGGCGAGGTCCTGTTGACGTCTTGCGGAAGTCCGCCAGTCTCCGTCGCGCCAGTACTTGACGCGTTCTCGGAAAGCAGCTCGTGTCATTGCGAGGGCTACGGTCACATCCTCAGATGATTTCCACTCGGCACTGTCTTGGAACTGACAACATGATTCATTCGTGTTGAATCAGTTCCAAATTTGGAGTCAAAATCAGCAGGTCACCTACAATCGAGAGCTCCATCCACTCATCGGACTTGCATTCGATCGCACGTTCGATAATCAAAATGTCCATTGCCATCTCTTGCAGAACTATGTCCGCCTTGACGATGTCCTTTAGCTTACGTTCTGGTGGAATGTGGTTCGGCGCGTCAAGAGGGGGTCTTGGACCGGCCTCCAACCAGGCCTCCGTAATATCAGGTGCATCGAAATTGAGTTGCTCCCCCTGAAGTAGGCCACCGGCAACATTGAGAGTCGCCATACTGTAGTCGTATCGTTCACGCATGGTCCGGCTGCCATGACGATGCCCAAGCAAGTACTACAAGCGGACAAGTTTCAGCCAGGTATCCCAAATTCGCAGGCAACGTTGACTGACCTGAATGCTCCCGTCATCCATCTTCCCAAACTTTCGTGCCGTAGTTGCCATACCTTTCCTGAAAGCGTTCGTACCGATCAAGCCATCCCCAATATTTTGAGCCAGATTAGCCTTCTTGCAATACTTTCTTAATGCAATATTGAAAGCATTTGCGGTCATCGCGCCACGATAAGGATACTTGTCCTTATCATTCGGATCGGCCAGATGGCGACCTCCAGGCACGCTGCCGAGGAAGAGGGGCTGCTCCATGTAGTCTTCGAGAGGGCGCAGGCGAAGTTCAGGCCCGTCAAACAACTCTTCGACCGTGACATCTTTTCCAAAAGCACCTCTTTTGTGGAGCATAACTATCAAGCACATTCCCAAATCAAAAT